CAACCAAAGGAAATGCTTCAGGGGTGCAGCCCTCCTCAGACGGGGAAATCAGCCACTAGATAGTGAGAAAACAGGTGGCGCACACACCTAGTGCATTATCCAAGGTTTATTGAAAGGAGTGGAAAATAAAAACAACATACTCACAGACGAAGCATGTATCTAAAAAGCATGAAAAATGATGATGGCCACAACGGCAGGCAAGGTGATCCTACTGTCAGTGCGGTCAAAACTGACCGCTAGTTTTCGGGGACGAATCCCTTTCCCCTCAGAGCTGCTGACCAGCCTCTGGTGCAGATGTGTAATGGATGGATGATGGGAGCCTTGCTGGTGATGGCTGGACTTAAATTGTTTCCTTAGTGATGCATGAACTTTTTATTTTATTTTAATTTATTTTGTTTTTATTTTAGTGTCATTCATATATATATATATTTTTTTAAAATATACAGTTGTGTTCAAAATAATATCAGTCAGACATCACTAACCGACGGATCAATCACTGTTTTTGGTGGAAATGATATTTCTACATGGCAGATAATTTTCTATCAGGTGTAGTAGAGTCATAGAAATCCAACGCTAGAGACCCAACAGTCATGACATGCATGCTGCTGATTCTGTGTCATTGAATCACTCATTGAAAGGGGCGTGTTCACAATAATATTAGCCGTTGTGGAGTTTCTATTAGTGACGTCATTCATTCTTTGATAAACAGGCGGCAATTATTGCCCTTATTTAAGGAAGGAAGGCAGCAAATGTTGGACATGCTGGTTACAGTGCATTTCTCTCTGAAATTCTGAGGAAAATGGGTGGTTCCAGACATTGTTCAGAAGAACAGCGTACCTTGATTAAAAAGTTGATTGGAGGGGAAAACATATAAAGAAGTGCAGAAAATGATCGGCTGCTCAGCTCAAATGATGGCAAATGCTTTAAAATGGCAACCAAAACCTGAAAGACGCGGAAGAAAGCGAAAAACTACCATTAGAATGGATAGAAGAATAGCCAAAATGGGCGGACTCAGCCAACAATCAGCTCCAGGAAGATGAAAGAAGGTGTGACGTTCCCTGTGAGGACTCAGCCAACAATCAGCTCCAGGAAGATGAAAGAAGGTGTGACGTTCCCTGTGAGGACTGTTACAATTAGAAGATGCCTATGTGAAGCCAAGCTATCTGCAAGAAGTCCCCGCAAAGTCCCACTGTTGGGAAAAAGACGTGTGCTGAAGAGGTTACAATCTGCCAAAGAGCACATTGACCGGCCTAAAGAGAAATGGCGCAACATTTTGTGGACTAATGGAAGTAAGATTGTTCTTTTTGGGTCTAGTGGGCGGAGACAGTTTGTCAGACGACCCCCAAACACTGAATTCAAGCCACAGTACACTGTGAAGACCGTGAAGCATGGTGGTGCAAGCATCATGATATGGGGATGTTTCTCATACTACGGTGTTGGGCCTATTTATCGCATACCAGGGATCATGGATCAGTTTGAATCCATCAGAATACTTGAAGAGGTCATGCTGCCTTATGCTGAAGAGGAAATTCCCTTGAAATGGGGGTTCCAACAAGACAACGACCCCAAACACACCAGTAAACGTGCAACATCTTGGTTCCAGACCAACAAGATGGACGTTATGGAGTGGCCAGCCCAATCCCCGGATCTTCATCCAATAGAAAACTTGTGGGGTCACATCAAAAATGCCGTTTCTGAGGCCAAACCAAGAAATAGAGAAGAACTGTGGAATGTGGTCCAATCATCCTGGGCTGGAATACCTGATCACAGGGGCCAGAAGTTGGGGGACTCGATGCAACACAGATGTACAGCAGTTCTCAGAAACAGTGCGACTACAACCAAATATTCATGAAGTCATTCAAAGGAAAGCAAAATCTTCAAACATTTCTCAGTTTATATAGTGAATGTTGGAGTTTGTAAAGAAGAATACAAACACGGCCATTTTTTTGAACCGTCTAATATTCACTTTTCTTCCATTTTTTTAGAGGAACAACACAAATTTGATGTATTTTTCTTCATGTTGTGATTTGGAATAGAATGTGTCGTGTTCCCAATGCATTTGTGTGGATGGAAAGAAAAGCTAATAGAAGGATTTTCAGCTTTAGTCACTTTTTTTCAGCACACGGCTATTATTTTGAACACAACTGTATATTTTCTATATTATTAATTATTATTGATTTAAAGTGTATTTTTTTGAGTGTATAAACATTGTTATGTTGATGGCTATTACAATGATGTGTTGTTATTATCTCGTTGTTATATTAGTATTTGCACAGAAGATGGTGCTATTGCAATGATGTAGTCTGGTGTAAATATGGGATTATGCTTAAGTAACAACATTACACCATTGATTGGGCCAATTAGAAAGGAGGTGGCTCTATAAGAGCGCTCTCCATGCACTGCTTACCACTCCCCTCAGAAGAAGTCATTGGACGAAATGCGTTAGGGTGTGGCTAGCCGGTGACGTCACCACGCATGCCGATCCACGTGATCGCACTATCGCCATCTTGAGTGCAGGCAGGCTGGTGAGACGCTGGATACAGAGCTTGTAGCTCTGAGTATTAACAAGCGCTGTGTATATATATGCTCATTGTGAGTGCGATTTTAAGGGGGGTTTTTACTTTAAATAAATTTGCTGGATGATATTGCACTATGGCGAGTATTCTTTTTATTCACATGTGCTAATTCAGTGGTTCTCAACCTGTGGGTTGTGACCCCTTTTGGGGGTCGAACAACACTTTCATAGGGGTCGCCTGAGACCATCAGAAAACACATATTTCCGATGTGTAAAGAGCAGCTACTGTGTAGAAAGCAGCTACTGTGTAGAAAGCAGCAGTATTGGAGGTAAAACAACACTCATGAATTATAATTACTGGGTAAATAATTTTATGGTTGGGGTCACCACAACATGAGGAACTGTATTAAAGGGTCACGGCATTAGGAAGGTTGAGAACCATTGTGCTAATTGGATATGAGAGGATTTCCCTACGTTGGAGCCTGTTTGGTGGAATGCTGGATGTAAATTAATATGCTGGTTTATCACCAGCACATGGTGAGTGTGCATTTTGATGGGGTGTTCTGTGCACTGGATATCACATTGGTGAAGGAGGATCTCATTACTTCATTTATTGAGGATCATTGATATATGGACTTTTCTGAATGGACTATATGGGGACTTCCTATATATGATTTAGCACTGAATATGTTTGCACATATATGGTGGTGGATACATTTATTTATTGATTTGGTTTAGGATTGCGCTATTATTTGTGGTTATTCGGTTTATCACAATCATTATTATATAAAGTAGGCCTGTTTGGCGGCGTGAAGGGAGGAAGTTTACGTTAAGAAGGCAGATTTATATCGGGTGAAGGCTTGTTGGGATTTGGTTTCGCGCCATAGTCGCTCCAGCACACAACTACGTCGTTTGAGGTATCTGGTGTGGTCGGTCTGCCAGGGTTGTAGCGATCGGGGGCCTAATGCTCCGTGTTGTTGGGGGTGCGAGCGAGTCTAGAGCGGCTGGAAGCGAGTTGTTGTAGGCAGTAGCGGCCAGGTCAGGGCAGGACATGGGATGGATGGTGTCGTAAAGTTGGTCAGTTGCAGAGTGGAAGGGAGCAGAGTTCCAGTTCTGGAGGATTCTGCTGGTAATTGTTTGCCGTTTGGAGGGATAGGAGGACGAGGAGATGGAGAAGGTGATGAGGTTCTGATTGGAGAGAGGAAAGGGGGTGAGGTTGCAGGGAGTGCAAAGATGGGAGAAGACAAGGTCTAGGGTGATCCCGTCGGAGTGGGTGGAGGACTGAATACACTGTGTGAGTGCAAAAGAAGAGGTTATGTGGAGGAGTTGGGATGTAGCCGGGTTATTGACGTTGAAGTCTCCAAGAATGATAGTGGGTAGCTCAGAGGAGAGGAAGAAGGGTAGCCAGCCAGGTCTCTGTTTCCATTTTGTTTGGATACTTTTGTGTTGAAGTTGTTTCTGAATGTGGCGAGGAATGCAACTTTTCTGCCTAAATCTAGAACTGCCTTCAGGTGTCACTGACAGGAGAGGCAACAGTCGGCATTCTGGCAGCTTCACACATTCCTCCCGTGTCAGGAAATCCCCAACAATGTCTTCCAGCGCTACAATGTTATTCATCAACATTTCCCCTCAAGATTCACACGACTTTCACTCAGAACTCATCATAAAAATAAGTAAATAGGATCCCCCCTCACCCCCTCCTTCCTGACCGGCCACTTTTTGCGATACGGCGCTGCGTTACTTTAACCGACAATTACACAGTCATGCAACGTGCACCCAAATGAAATTTATGTCCATTATTTACCATGAATAGAGCTTTCTTTTGATGGTATTTTATCCCCTGTGCACTTTTTTTTGTGAGCTATAAATAAAAAAAGACCGCCGATTTTGAAAAAAAATTTTTTTGGACGTTTTGCTTTAAAACATGTCCAGTAAAAAAAAAATTATATTAAAACATCAAATTTCTTCATAAATTTTGGACAAAATGTCTCCAGCTCCGTGTCTTTGCCAATAACAAAAAAATCCTGATACGTGTAAATTAATTGGTTAACGTGAACGTTATAGCGTCTACAAATGGCGGGATAGATACTGGGGTTTTAATTAATTAATTTATTTTTTTACTAGTAATGGCGGCGATCAGCGACTTATGGCGGGACTTCGGCGGGCATTCAGACACTGGGAGGGGGGACTGACTTGGTGTCATTGACATCCCCAGTAACACCAATACAGTGATCAGTGCTAATAAAAAGCCCGACACTGTACTAATGACACTGGGCAGGAAGGGGTTAACATCTGGGGCCATCAAAGGGTTAACTGTGTGCTGTGTTACTAGGGAGACATGCTGTGCAGAGAGATACAAAGCAGCATGACAGTTGACAGATCTTTGTTGGTTACACACAGGTCTCTCTTCTGTCAGCTTTGCCTGACTGTCAGGGGTCGAGTGTTCTGCCGCGATCCCCCCCTGGCGGCGCATGCGCAGAACACCGACACGCTCTAGCCAGCGGGCAGCGGGACCTGGGCGATCGTGGCAGCAGCGACGGCCGCACATGCGCACTCGCGATCGCGAACACGCTCCTGGCACCAATAACAGCGCAGGATGCGGTATTTAAACGGGGCAGGAGGTATGTGCAATTGCCGTTTGGTCTTATTGTCCTGTTCCTGTCATCTGATTTGTGAAGTTTCCTGTTGCCGACCTCTGCTTGATCCTGACCCTGCTGATTGTCTCCTGCTTGACCCCTGGCTTGACCTGACCATCCTTCTGCCTGATCCTCTGTACCTCGCTGCCCGTTAGTTTCTGAACCCGGCTCGTGACCCTGACCATTCTCTGCCTGATCCTCTGGTACCTCGCTGCCCGCACGTTGCTGAACCCGGCTCGTGACCCTGACCATTCTCTGCCTGCTCCTCCGGTACCTTGCTGCCCACACGTTGCTGAACCCGGCTCGTGACCCTGACCACTCTTCTGCCTGATCCTCTGGCACCTCGCTGCCCGCATTTTTGCTGACCCGGCTCGTGACCCTTGACCATTCTCTGCCTGCTCCTCTGGTACCTCTCTGCCCACATGTTGCTGACCCGGCCTGCCTGAC